ATTTCCTCCATGTTGTATGGATCATCACTTATGATAACACTTTCACCCTTAAGCTTTCTTTGATCTCTCTAAAGAAAAAAAAGTCAAGTGTACCCATCACCTTCTATGAGCGATTGAACGTGTTAGGAGATTGATAGAATATTAGCATAGATTTACGAAATTATTATTATTGTATTGGTTCTAGAGCCACTGATTCTGGTTGACACTACACTGCAACGACTTTTTTGGGGCATTTACGGTGCTCTGTTACGCAAAATCTCTAACGCCCACCCTTACCTAACCCAAAGCCACCCCCAAATTAAGTTGACTTTTGTGTCAAAAAATTTGATGGGGTGAGTTCAGGTCGGGGTGGGGGTTTACGGGGTAGGTTAGGAGGGGTAGGAACCATCACTTTTGTGAACGAAGCATCGTAGGTGTCTCAGTTAGAGATGGTGTCGTCCGGAGCCGTTTAAAGTGAGTGGCTTTAGAACCCCTTGGTATAATTATTCCCTTATTATTTGTATGTTTTAAGAAAAATGCTTTACCTATAAGAGTAGTAAAAAAATAATACATACTCGAGAGAAGAGATCACGCATCATCCATGGAACTAAGTACCTCCATGGCCAGATATCTTGAGTGACCCCTCTCTCAGTAACGTTGGGCTTATCGTATTCCACTTGAATAGCAGTTGTTAAATTATTGAACTGCAGAGACCTGGCTGCAACTTCAATAGAAAATTCATATGAGCTAATCACGCGTTCGATTGGGTTTCGGATGATGGTCACCACAGAAGTTTGATCTTTTGGTAGTCTAGACATCAAGCTGTAGTCATCATGTGTTACTGTCAAATTACATCTTGGGTTCCTGCATATGTGAATGGGGAGAATATAGTTGGAACAGTATACGAATGAATGTGAAGAAACTTGGTAGACTAAACGAATCGTGTGATCTGCTTTCAGATTAAGACGTTAGTATTTCTAGAATGAGTATGGAAGCTCTGTCGTCTCTCAAACATACCTTACGACTCCGTATATATATTGAACGCAAATGGGTCAGACGCGTTTGTTGAATAAAAAACTCAATTTTGCACAAAACATTTGAATATTTGGCCAGAACATTCGAACGTATGCAGCATCTATTGTTAAATATTGTGTTTCAACAGGTTTTTGCGCGATCCATCTTTGCTTATCGTGAAATATTCAAATGTTTAAGAGTTAACGTTCAAACTAATGTGTCCATTCGCAAAGGGTGTATGGAATTAATACTAACACCAGAATGCGTGGATTCTTACATTCGAATGTTTCCTTATTTTGACCCCTATATGAAAATCCAAAGGACTCAGCCAGTGGCTGTCGCCCCTTGGACCCCGCTATAGAGCTTGTAATATCATTGAACGAGTGTGCGTTCCGCACCACCAAACTCATTAACAACGCTTATCAAAATTCTGTCTGATCTTAGTAAATCGAATTACATAAAATGATCGATGAGACTAAAATCACCAAGAGAACATATTTGAGTTTCATACATAGAGAAATCAATGGAAAATTATCTAAGCAATTCAAGAAATACCTTGGATTAAACCTTAAGCGATCATAGGAATGTGGACACCTTGAAGAGGTATCATAGAGTTGTTCCAAAATGCTGTAAATCAAAGTATAAAGAGAAGAAATCAGATGTAAATATATTCAAATAAGATCCAACCGGATCGATAAGAAGTTTTAATAAGAGAGTTATTAATTTGGAAGAAAGAATGAAAGATTACCAATGGTGGTAATTTTTCCCCCCTGTCCTGGGGACATGAAGAAAGAACAGGAAATCCTTTAATATCTTTTGATGTTCAGAAGCTTCAAACTCCTGGAAAGAAGATGCCCAACTCTTGACCCTGTCTTCACACTCCTCTAGATCCTCTCTGTTATATGTTGCCTTTGCACTTGTAAAATCTGGTAAATATACATTCCTTTTAGCACATAGATTATAATTGCATTTAAAAATAATATCCCTCCATTCTAAAAAAAAGATTTCTTATTTTCTCTTTTGACGTTCCAAAAAAACCTTATCTTTCTATTTTTTTAAAATTTTGAGTGGTTCATAATTTTTCTCTCTCTACATGACTTCCGATAATACATTCTTCATTTTTTTGTCAAGTCAAACAAGGAGCTTTTTTAGGACGACGAGAATATTTGAATACAAACATGCTACGTGCACCCCAAGGAGTGTACCCCAGGTGTAGACCACATGTGTGCACCGACAGGTTCATACTAACACAAAATGCAAGTACGATTGAAAAATATTACATTACCATTTTGTGTCAGTGTGAGCCATCAAAATGTTGATTTACACCTATGATGTACAACTTGGAGTACAAATGCAAGTAGTTTTATATTTTTGAAAACAATAAGTAATTTTTTACTAATTAATAAGGTGCACTTTGTGACATTATTTGTTCCTCGCAGTTATAATCGCACTATAGTGACATGTAACAACAGGGTGGCAACGCCTTGTTGGGTGTTATTTTATTAGATATTGTTATTGAATTTTTGTTTTTAAATTTAGAAAACAAATGTAATTACATCAAAGAATTAAATGAAGAGCATAAACCTCTTGATTGTAACTTTTAACTATATCTTGGTATAAAAGATTTGAATATCATATTTTTAATATATAGAGTATGTTTTAATTCTAATTATGTATTTTATTATTTTCTTAGTTTTTTTTTATATTTTTGGAGTCATATGACATAGGGTAGATTGTACTTACATGAGATAAAGGTCTTGTTTGGAAAATGATTCTTCAGCCAAAACTCCGTTGGCTGGACTCGTATACATTTTAGACACTGAGCATGAGTGTCATATTATGACACATTGTTGAGCACCCTAGAGTGTTTCGATCTCAACGTTGTTAATATATATTTCGGTTAACCTTTGCAAGCACTCCATTTTCCATGCCCCCGAATCACGCCCTTCACATTTGGTTGAATTTTGATCAAAATGGCAAGCATATTTGACTAATAGGATTAAGAAGGTAGGGGCTGAGTAGGGAATGATGGGGTGGGATGGGAGCCAGGGAGATTTAGAGCTTAGAGATCGATATAGTTACTACGTTGAAATCGAACGTAACATCGTAGGATTCTCAAATGCACCAGTGTCATTATGACACTGGTGCCCAAAGAATTATTACACCATGATAATTACACCTTTATTCTATAAAATACATCTAATTGTAAGATTATAGTGTTGGCATTTAGTAAGTTTGTGTAATTTTTCTATATTCTCTCTTACTCTTCTAGTCTTGTCACAATTTATGCTTACGTATTTGACTTTCTACGGTCTTAAACGCGACATTGTGATTGTTAATAACTATATTTCTATTTAAATAAATTTAATGAAAATATGATCTTTAAACTACAATGGCAAATTAATTCAATAATACGGAGTACCAAAATTTACAATGTTTTAAATCTACAAAATAAAGTTACTCCATAAGTTTCTAAATTTTGATCAAGAAAATCTAGACAAGATAAGGATAGAGTGATGCTTAATATAAAAAACGAAGAAATATCTTAATTAGGAAATGCTACATTATATTTTTTTTCTCTCAAACTACATTATACTAATATTGCATAATTTACATAAGTTTACACGTTATATATGTAAAACATGTACCAAAAAAATCATACTTCCTCCGTACCCATGTATTTGTCCACTTTCATTTTTGCACATCATCCAACGCACTTCTTTAATCTATTTTATCTTGTAATTTGTATATTAAAAAATTATAAAAAATATATATTAATAATCTATATGTTAAGACAAATCAAATAAGATCACGCATGACTATATTTAGGCTTACACATTGAGAGAATTTGATGAGTCAAAGTGCTTAGATGAACAGTTCCAAAAGTTAAATGTGGACAAATACAGGGGGACGGAGGGAGTATGTTAAACCAAAAAACATACCAGAAACAATCAAAAGCATTGGGATAATGACCACCTTCCAAAAATGAATTATCTTTCCCATTTCCTCCTAAAAGTCAATGGGATATTGAAAGTTTAAAACTACGTAGTCATGTAACAAATTAAAGAGTGCAAGAAACTACTCCTCAAAAAGGGGAGATTTTCATAAATAAATCATAAATTTAGTACTTCAATCCTACGGCAATTAATTAGGATGTTACAATATTTTGATACTAGTATACAACATTAAAAGAAAAAATTATAAATAAATAAAGATAACGTTTGAAGAGAGAAAAATTAACATCATTAATTATATATCGACGATAGGAGTTATAAGTAAAAAAAAGACTTGAAATGGTAACTGAAAATATATCCACAATATGGTTATGTTGATCAAAAATCGATGACTTAAGAATTCCATATTGATATATCTCAAAGTAAAAAAGTATCAAATCTAAATGCTTTTGTCTCGTTAATTTCAAAAAAAAAGATTTTGATATAAAAAATGTCACAATCTAATGCTCACAAAACATGCCATTATTTTGCAATATGTGGCATAGCTAGAAAACTCGTGGCCCAACCATTGGTTCATCGTGAGTAGACGATATAAACATTTATCAATTCTGGGATATACCACTGCAAACATATAAAAATTTTAGAAAGAGTAGTTTCACTTAATGAATCTTAAACTCCATTTAGTACATGGAATTCAAACCAAGGAAGTAAAATTGGAGACTTCAATTCCAATTTTACTGTTTGATAACACAAAAATATGTGTATTTAGAATTTTTAATGCAAAAAATAAATTGAAATGGGAGAACTCAATAACATTCAATTCAATTCCATAGAATTTCTGGGTACTACACAGACCCTTAGAGTAATTATGTAAAATCGCGTGTTGACAAGTAAAAAATAAGATTCAAATTTCTTCGTGATAAAAAAAATTGGGAACCACGTCTTCATTTTTTCAAAAAGTAATTATTGACAAAAAAAGCAAAACACTTTGACTAAACTATACTGCTATCTAAAAGACACTCAAGATCTCAATGAGACTATATGAATACACACCATAGGAAAATTATAATAACATAGAGTACCAACAAAAAATCATCATTTGACTATAAATAAATGTTTAAAATTTGGGGTGGCTATGCACAATGATATATTGTTTTCCAGCTTCTTTCACTGCTCACTAGAAATATGTATGAGCCATGTTTGCCTACTCTCTCTAGTCTCTACTAACACGAGAGAGCCTGGCGGTAACTCCAAGGAAAACCGGACCGGAGTTCCATGTACAAATTCCAACCAGCCAAAAAAGGAGGAAATGTTTTTATTGACGGTTTTCTTCTTTAACTGCGTCCGAGTTGTGCAAAGTATTGTTTATCGGCATTGGCCAAGCGGTCTTGGAACATTGCCCATTCCCCTCTGCATCTCTCTCTTACCTGCAGGGTGAAGCATGCCGATACAAATGTGTGTGATTTTTAAATTTAAACTGAATTATATGTTAGAGTTAGAGAAAATACCATTTTAATTTTTACTTTTTAGAAATGATTTTCTGTGTTTTCCGCAGATTCATCCATTTAAACAAACAATTTAACCAAAATTCAAATCCAGCGATTTTAGGCATTACCAATCAGGCTCCAAATGTTATTGCAATCTACCAAGCAGAACCAGGTTTCATATGTCATTGTGAACCTATTATCTTTTAATTTCAGGAAAAATTTTGAACAGGCTGCAAACTTAACATTAACATGCAACCTGATTAATCTGTTCTAAAAAAAAATACCACTGACAAAGAGAAATGTTGGAGTTTGGCACCAAGGCAACAGAAGAAGGAAAGGAAAGAATATAAACATACCCCTTGCCACGGAGCTTTACCATCTTCAGACCGACCCTGCATATTGCATCAACACAGCAGTAAGGATCCGTCAGAACCAGGAAGATACTGACGAGATATTAAAAAGAAAGGAAGGAAATAGAAATATATACTCCGTATAAATCTATTTCTAAAAACCACGTTTGATTTTCTTTTGCATTGTCCAGGGTAAACCCTCCTAAAACAACTAAGTTTTTTTTCCTTTCCCTAGCATTTCCATGATCCAAACATACCCAACAGAGGACCAGCAACAGAAAATAGAAGCAGATGAAGAGGCGAATTTATTAGAAACTGGAACAAACGAGACACAAACTAAGATTATTAAATCCCTATTTTGTGAAGCTCTGTAGGCTGTAAGTCTGTAACTACAGAGACCTACCCCCAGGCCCCCCAACTTCCTGCTTGTTAAATATTTAGCACATCAAACGCAGAAGAAAATAGAAGATTTTAGTTTTTACAAATCAAGATTTGCAGAACGTGTTCAATCATGGGTGCAAGGGAAAAGACAGTATCAGAAATTAATTATTACTCAACCTGATTTCCAAGCGAAGGGATAACTTGATGAATAATCCATTGTGAATCAACTACACCAATCTTTTCATGAGCAGGCTGTGTACACCAAAAATATATATTAGGTTTCAGATAGTATTTTTAAGGGTGCTTCATACATTCACGCAAATCTTAAATGCATGAAGTATAATGCTCCCTCCATCCCATAAAAAGGACTCCAATCCGATGAATATTCAACTTTTATATTTTTAGTAACTAGTAAGGAACAACTCTTTGAATGCACTAAATATACCTATATTTTTAACTAAGGAATAACTCTTATTAAGGGACAACTCAGACAAATAAGTTGAGAAATAGAACTCTTTTTACGGGACGGATGAAGTATATTTTATCATTTCTTATACATCTTAAGTGTCACATAAATAAGGAAAAGTAAATCCAAACCCCTATTCATGCAATCAGGGAGGTTCAACACAGAAATTCATACCTCTACACATCTTCTGAGAGCGAAATCCAATCCCCATCCATGAACCAGATCATTCTATAAAGAGAATAATTAAACAGTTGCACAATTTACCATGCAAAATCATTGCATTAACTTGACAACACCAATGGTAATCAGTAAAGCAGCCAAAAAATCTCAAATATTATCTAATACCTGAATCATATGCCAAACACACCGCCATGCTTCTCGGGAGAACACAGGAGCCATGATTTCTACAAAACTGGAAACAAAAAAATATTAAATACAACTAAAATGCTATCAATAAGTATATTGAAAGTATCATATGAGGGACATAAAATACGCTGCACAGGGAGGCAAATGTGGATCACTGCACCATCCCGGTTTCTCATCTGTATCCCTGTTCATCCATCCAGAAGAATTTTACAGATTGAAAAAAAAATGTAGTCATCTTATCATTCATTGAGAGGGGGAGGGAATACAAAAGGTCTACTTGTGAACTTCTTTGTCTCCCCTTCTTTTTGTCATTTGCCATGTCAATCCATTGTTTGGCTCCAAACCAGGCTGAGATATCTCCAGACCATGTTTCTTCACTAGTTGAATATACCTGGATTTTTTTAGGTTAGATTTAGTCAGAAGAAAAAACAATAGCTTCTCAACCCCAATCCCCCCTCCCCCCCCAAACACACAAACAAACACACACAAATAAAAGCAAAAAACAGAACCAAAAACCAATTATTGGAACTTACTTGTGTGCATTGAAGTGTTCTACTCCAAGATCTTCGTCCCAAATAAATATGTAATCATAAGCAGCTACAACATCTGGGTGTAAAAACCGCTTCGCGTACCACCTAATAATAGAAAAACATGAAGTGTGAATATTACAAAGAAAACCTGATATGTGCCAAGAGTGTGAAGGGAAAGAGGGAATGTGTGGACAGTATAGGAAACATGAAATGTATGACAATTATACATGGAAAAATGAAATGTGTGCCGATTATATATGGAAACATGAAGTGTGTGAAGAATATATAGGAAAACATAAAGAGCATAAAGATCATGAAATAGCTGGAAGACAAAATTGTCCATATTTAACAAGGAAATGCAAGAAGTGTGAAGATTATGAAACTCCTGAAAAAGAACTGTACATATTTAACCCATGTACTATTAGTAAGGCCCATTACCACCACAGATCAGCATTCACCCCCATCAGGAGAAAACCTGTGTGGGCTCTGGGGTACTCAAGTTCCTTATTGCAGAAGATATTTAATCTGAATTTATTTAGCAGAATTGTAATTAGTGATTGTTGACCACTACTGATGTTTTAAAAGATTGCAGAGTACAACGGTGCACCACTTGGTTGCAAATGTTTAATTGCATTGTGTTCTGTTCTCAATGTATTTAAATTGTTGTTGCATTACTCAGTGGCTACTCGATCAAACACCAAGTAACTATTAGGATTAAGGACTGATTATTAATGAGTATTGGATGATCATTCGGCCCCGTAAATCTGAAGTTTACAATTTGACTTCACGGAGTTTAACTGTTTATTAAAATTGCTTAAAAGTAAAAAGTGAGTTGTTGGAAATTGTTTAGAAGAGAAAAAAATGTTGTGAGCCACATATTGTTTTCCTTAATAGACAAGTGAGTAAGTATAAACTTATTTTGGGACATCCCGGAAAGGATAGTGTACTCTTCTTTAATGAAACAAGTGGGTTTGGATTTCTCACTCACTTATTAACCAAATATGGAAAGGTGAGGTTTATAGTGAGACAGCCCAAAAAGAAAACGGTGAAGTTTTATTAGAGATGGAGGAAGTACAATATTATATGAAGCAAAAACAATAATCCACAACCACAACTGGATTCATAGACCATTTAAGGAAGATCCAAATCAAAGTTCAAGAATTTATTTGGTTGGGGGATCATTTTGGAGTGGCATGGGTGACTAAAAAATTTCCACTTTGACTCCACGGAGATAAAAAAGTGCTGAAAAGTGAAAAGTATGTTGTTAGAATTTGTTTAGAAGAGAAAAATATTGTAAGCAAAATATTCTTTTCCAAAAAGGGAAAGGGAAAAAGTGGAAGAATTATTTTGGGACAGAGAAAAAGAAAAGTGGGAAAATCTGTGTGACGGAGGGCACATTAGGTAATAACTAAATTTGGTTAAATAAGGTATTTCTTTATAATTTTTCATGTTCACTTCCTTTTTATCCATCTAGTGTAAGAATCATTTATCATCAGCACCTTAATGAAATCAAGTAACATTAAAAAATTATGCAAAAAACAGTGGCTATGTTTTACACTATATGCCCTTCTTATAGCAGCCTTCATAAGAGGAATCATTAATGTTAGAATAAATTAAAAAAATAAATATATCCTTCCCCTTTAATATCCCCAACAAAAAAAGAGGTAAGGTATCTAATTGCACTTAACTCTGACACTCAATCTTTAGCTCTTAAATCTTAAACTCTTTTACAAGTGGTACATCATGACCCCCAGTCCCCAACTGAGTAGGGATTATATTGGGTTGCTGTTGTATTTAACTTTAAAAAACACTAAATTCATAATCTATTGGTTCAAGATCAACACTATCTCCATCTCACTATACTTCTTTTAATGACTTCTTCCACCTTTGTCATGGTTCCTGAACTCAACACATTTTAACACCAACTGAGTTGCTCACATAATTTTTTTTAAAGCTATTGAGTGTAAGAAACAAGCCTTGAGTGAAGGCTATAGATTATTGCCTTGAAGCTTACACCTTAAAGTATACACCTCATGAGGCTTATGCCTCTAATACTATGCAGTGACGGACTTTCTTACAGGAAAAAAAACTCCCTTCATCCAAGCTAAAAGTCCACTTTGACCAAACATGGAGTTTAGCTGTTTAGGTGTTGAAAAGCGAAAAGAGTGTGTGGTTAGTGAAAGAGAGAAAAATAATGATGGCCATATACTTATCAAAAAATGAAAGGGACTTTCAATTTGGTACGAACAAAAAATAAAAGTGTGTTGTTATATTTTGAGATTGAGGGAGTAGTTTTTTTATACCTTAGTTTAGCTTAACAAGACATCTTATTCGCTAGAAGGATTAGGATGGTGTTAGTTGGATTTTTAAGGGAGGGAAAACTTAACCCAACAGAAACCCTAGAAGTTCAGATGTTTATTTTCTACCCAAGCGCTTTCTTTTATTCTTTCTTCAAAAAAAATTCTTCAATACGGTTCTATTAGTTTGCTTTCTTTTCTACAGAAATTGAAGCTTTTTAAAGGTAGCTACCACAATTTTTCATCTTAAATTAAATGTTGTTAACTTGTTTTATGAGCTACTAAGACATTAATTTAAGAAATTTATTTGTGAGATGTTCACACACTTGTATCAATATTGCGTATTTTACGGGTTAACCCATGAAGCTTATGCTTCTGAGGCTAAAAAAGAACGCCTCAAAACACATTTGACCTTTTCTAAACCTTGTTTAATGAGGTGAGTAAAGTGAGAAAACGAATCAAGAAAATTGTTGAGTAACTGACAAGTAACTCAGTTGCGTAAATCATGTCGACTAAGGAGGGCAGCTACTCAATGAGCCCTAGGTCCGAGTAGCAAGGACCTGCAGAGTA